TTAACTCAGCACTCAACAGCCTCATTTTGTTAAGACAACAATGTCCCTCGCCTTGGAATTTTCCTCCGCCAGCTTCTCTTCTGAAAAAGACCCCTTCCCCCATGGCTACCATGCAAAAAATGTGAAGTATTACGCTATGCTTCGCATTTTGTATCGATTGCATGCTATGTTGAAATAAATGTTAATATTTTATTGCTATTCTTCGAGTTTAGTATAATGATTTATTTTTTAATTATTTTAGATCAATGGAAGATTTATTGATTGGAGATTAATTACTTTAAATCTCATTTTCTTTTAATTCTTAGAGTACTGATAATTACATATTTCTTTCTTGACATAATTAAATTGAAGAGCATATATATACAAATACCATGAAAGATTTTCATTTATTTTATTTAAGATGAGTCAAATAATTATATTAATTAAATGAGAGTATTTAGATGATTAACGGGAAAATGTAAGCACTCATTTATTTTTGAATGAATGAGACATAATTTCATTTTTACGAACATCATTAGCAATTTAAACTAATATCTTACTCGTAAATCGTAACGAAGGCAATTCATCACCGAACAATAACAGTACTTTGTAAGGCAATAATATTAAGGCATTAATATTAAAAATAATATAAATTATATTTTAAAAATTTATTTAATAATTTAAATTATTAAGTTGAGATAGTTTTTGAATACGATATCAAAACTTTAATGATCAAGCGATTACGAGTTCAAATCTTATTATTTTTATTTATTTGATAAAAATTAAACACAAGATAATGTAGATCTGTACAAGTTTCAAGCTTAAAGGGTTTTCATTTGAGGAAGTGTGTTAGAGAATAATATAAATTATTTTTTAAAACCTCACCTAATAACTTAAATTTTTGGGTTGAGATGGTTTTTGAATAAAAAAAAATAAAAAGAGCGAACGGGAAAATGTAAGCACTCATTTATTTTTTAATGGATGAGACATAATTTCATTTTTTTGAACATCACTAGCAATTTAATGCTTTGGAAGTGTGTTTTTGTTTAATATTAGCACATCAAAATAATATAAAAATATCAAAAAATATTAATTTAAAATAAAAAAAAATCAATTTTTTTAAACTTTAAAAATATAAAAATAAACAGACCTCTGATACAAAAACAGCTCCATGAACTCGAGAAAAATATTCTCTTTCAAGGGATTCTTTGACCGATTCCACCTCCAATCTTACATAAATAAATATATACATGCACGAACATTCCCATCGATCTGTAGCAAAAACAGAATCCATTTCGAGAGAGAGTAGAGAACGATTCAAACAAACATTTTTTGTATACATATTCCGAAAACAAGTGAACAAATAGAGGCTTACCTGTGTTTCAGAGCATCTCTTGTCTTGTCCAAATTCAATCACACACTCCATGAATGTTTTTGTGCCACCTTCTCTGAAAATTGAGTTAGTGCATTTCTTGTCGCAACACAAGCACGTAGCCTCCCTCACACTTTCACTCTCTCCCTCGCCCCCTCTGTAAATCTGGATTGCCATTTGCGCTTCGATCCTTCTCTGGAGATATATTGTCTCCCATTTTGGTAGGAAGCATGCATGGCCGCATCGGTGCACAGCAAGAAGATGATTTAAGGTGATGTATATTTTCCAAAATATTCATTAGTTAATTTCTTCTCTTCTGTATGTTTTGACATTTTAATTTTCATTCTATGTGTCAATCAAGCACATGAATTTTAATTTTAATTTTAATTTTAATTTTTATTACTTTAATCAAGCACTTTATTTTATCTTTTTAATGTGGAAAATTCCCCTCTGAAATAATATTGTTTTTAATAAAGAAAAGTATTTTAAATTAAAATGAACACTTTTAAAAAATTAAAATGAATTATATGAAGATATAAACTCTTTACGTGAATAAGTTGTCTATATAAAAACTAAAAACTATTTTTTAATTAAAAACCATCAGTTTGAAAAGACGGAAAAAAGAAGAAGACGAAGGCATTACACCATCTTGTTTTCTGATAAGATTTCTGTACAATTTGTCTCTCTCTTTTCCCATGAGCATCTTCTCGAGGTTGATCAAAGGACATGCCAACCATTTCTAGCCAGAGTACTGGTGATATCATAATATTGACATCAGAGTTTTGAATTAATAAGATTATTTTAGCTGTTCGTTTTTATCCATGAGATATTCGAAAGGACGCAAGAACTGAAATAATCAAGGAGAGACATAATCGAGGTGACAATAAATAACTATATAAAAAAATTAGTTTAATTACAGTTTTAATAACAATCTTATCAAGTAATTAATATAGTTACAGTTTTAGCACTATACAATATTAATCGGAATGGAAGCATTGATTCTTTTATTTCTTCCTTCCAGTGGGATGATCTTAAAATTTTTATATAATGGTAATTTTATTGAAAGAGTCTTCCCGAAGTTATTTTCCGAAAGGTTTCAATCCTCAGACAAAGGATCCATAAGTGGAATCCACTCGAAAACATCATTAAACACAATCCTATCTTGGAACACTTCCGACGAGAGATTTCAAGAAATTGGGATGCACATGTTGTAATCTCATAGTTATCGAGGATCCAAGCTTCCTTGTCTAACATCTTCGAACTGGGGCATCCTAGCATTTTCACTCGGGTGATGAACCATATTTTTGTGCTGAAGATACTCTTAAGAACGTAGCTTGTGAGATGTAATAAATAGCATTTAACTCTGTAGATTAATGTAGACTGTAGCAGGTAGCAGAGGACGGACATTTCCAAGCATGGGAGATGCCGAAATTGAAACGCAGACCGAGTTTGGGCACCCATCGAGAGATCAACAACATCAAGCTTGATTGCAGGTGCAAGACAAATTTGTTGTTACAGTTTTTCAATTTTTTGATGTCCTGCTACCTTATTCCTCACGCGAGACAGTTTTTAGGCAGGATCAATACTTGATACATAAACGAATAACTCGCCGATTTTTTTTATTTTTTTTCCCTTCTGATGATACATAAACGAATAACTCGCCGATTTTTTTTTTTTCCCTTCTGATATAAATATAAGGACCATGTCCTTGGCAAATCCTTATTTTATAAGTTTTTCTTTTACTTCAAGATCATTTTCCAGGTTTTATAAAATCAGAAAATCCTAAATTTAGAATTGCATGTTGTTATTCTTCTAAATTCTGTTTTTGTATGCATTTAATATTTTGTCCGGATACAAGTTGGAAAAGGTTATATTACAAAATTGAATCTTAATAATTGAATTCCAAATAGAATTCAATCTTTAAAAATATTACAAAAGTAAATTAAAGGCCAACCCCTCTGACTTACAATTCCAAATAGGAGAAAATTTAATATTAAAAATGTTTTTTTTCTAAAATATTCATCTAGCTTTTTTGAAGACATTTGAAAAAATAAGATGAAAATAATGAGTGACATAAAAAACCAAAATGAATTGAATTTTATCTTTTTTAAATATGTGAATTCAATTTATTTATAAATTGAATTTAAATCAAATACTATAATTAAATTAGTATATTTAATTATAATACAAAAGTGGTTCAAATAACTTGTTGGAGTATTTAGGTAATTGAATAGTTAATTTTAGCGGTCCAGGAATTTGTGGCGTCTTAATGTTCTCGTTGTTAACAATGTGCATTTGTTCTACCTAACCTATTTGTAAAGTCCATCGCCACCAATTGAATTTTTTTCAGGAAATCCGCCAAACCTCAAGATAGCCAGAGAGGCGGAGACAGAGAAGAAGAGAGGGAAGGAGGGAGATTTTACTAACAGAGGTTGGTTTTCGGGATGTCTCAGGTAGCAAGAAGAGACCCTTCTCAACTTGAATTTTAAAGAGTTAGCAAGGCAGCGACTGCTATATTCAAGTCATGGCTATTCCCTCCTCTCCAGCGACTACAGCACCAAAGGATGTGTTCAAAGAACACAATGGTCTTTTCCGTTCAAACTCTGACAAGGACTTCCGCAACCGAACCACCATGCAGAGATCCTACTCAGACAACAACCTCTGTTATTCCATTAACCGCGTACGCGCTGCATCAACACATCCAAAGCTAAAGAGCAGCCGATCAGTTGGGATTCTCCCATTTCAAATTGCTAGCTCCATTATCCCAACATCACTTCGGTCATTTCTGTTTGACCCAGAGACAAGCAAGGACATGATTATTGCGAAGGATGGAAATGATATATTGTCAGAGAAGGGTGGGAATATAGCGGATAGTTCAGACGAGGGCAGTGCTAACAATGAACTAGGAGAGGTAAAGAAAGCAAATTGGGTGGAGCGGATTTACGAGATCGGAAGTCATAGGAGGAGGAGACAACAGAAAGAGGATATATATGGAAAAGAGTCATCTGATGCAAACAAAAATGGTGATAGCAATTGTGAGGGTGGTTGCACGGTAGACTACAACTCAGAAGAGGAAGGAGGAGAAACAAAATATGATCGGGAAACGTTTTCAAGATTTTTGGTTCCCGTTGCATGGTCTGATATCAAGCTATTCTCAAAGCTGGCTTTCTTGTGCAACATGGCTTATGTTATACCAGAGATTAAGGTACACACACTGTGTTCTTCAATACAATTATGTAGGCCATCCTTCTAAGATCTGGATAAGTTCAGATCTTCTAAACTCCACTGCTTGCGTTAACTCTATGGTACTATCGAGCAATTGGTTAAGAAATTTGGTTTTGGATTTCAAAAAATAACAATGAAAATCAAAATTTTAGCTCAAGAAAATAATCGCTCATTCATTACGTGATTCAAAGCATAGAAATCACTAATCTACTTCGTTCATAATCCCCAGACATGTAATGCCAGCCTAAAGCAAGTATCTATGCTTCTAACACAAGCAATTCATCCATTGATATGCAGGCCATGGATTTGAGGAGATATCATGGCCTACACTTTGTAACATCTTCTTTAGAGAAGAAAGCGGAGGCTGCTGCCATGAAAGAGAAGCTCGATCAGGACTCTGCTCACGTCTCGGCAGCTGCTTCTGTAGTTGCCAAATCCAACCCACAGAACACGGAGGAACCTAAGCAGAAGCACCCAATACGGTCATCTGTTGCTTATGGGATTGCTGCCTCAGCAGCATCTTATGTCCAATCACGTGCACAAGGCCTTCTTTCTCATGGGGCTCAACCTCGGCAGGAAGGTGAGTGTATTGATTCAAGCAGTACTGGAAACCAACCATTTGAGGACAGAGACCGACCAGTTGAAGATGGTGAGAAATCTCAACGAGTATATAAAAAATCAGAGGTGGCTGCTTACGTTGCAGCTTCAACTATGACAGCAGTGGTTGCAGCTGGGGAGAAGGAAAAACAGGAGGCAGCAAGGGACCTTCAGTCACTTCACTCGGCACCTTGTGAATGGTTTGTTTGTGATGACATAAGCACGTACACACGCTACTTTGTGATCCAGGTAAATAATTCCTTCGTCATTCATTTCATTTTGTATGTTATGTAACATATTCCTAGGCTCTAGAAACAAATAAAAAGAAATCGCTTCACAGTTTTCAGATTAAACATGATATTCTATTTCTGAAAGGAAGACCTGAAATTGATAGACTTTGAACTTGTTTTCATGTTTCAAAATTGCAGGGATCTGACTCCCTTGCATCTTGGCAGGCAAACCTCCTATTTGAACCAGCTAAGTTTGAGGTAAGTATTGACTGCAAACTCTCGCAACTCGAAAAGAGTCCTTTTGAGGAAAAGATAGACCATATTCTAACAGTACAAAGACCTGTACCATTGATTAAATACTGTGTTTGACAGGGTACAGATGTGCTTGTCCACAGAGGAATTTATGAAGCAGCAAAGGGAATTTATGACCAGTTCGTGCCAGAAATTATGGAACACTTGAACAAATATGGAAAGCGTGCTAAGCTTCAATTTACTGGCCATTCTCTAGGGGGTAGCCTCTCTCTTTTAGTTCACTTGATGCTACTAACCAGAAAGAGTGTCAAGCCCTCCACTCTTAGGCCAGTGGTCACTTTTGGCTCACCATTTGTATTCTGTGGAGGCCAAAAAATCCTAAATCATTTGGGTTTGGATGACAACCATGTACATTGTGTAGTGATGCATAGAGATATTGTCCCAAGAGCTTTCTCCTGCAACTACCCCAACCATGTGGCACTAGTCCTCATGCGATTAAGTGGCTCCTTCCAGTCACACCCTTGTCTAATTAAGAATGTAAGTATATTTTTGATCAATTCCAACTTTCAATTCCCAAACCATCTATACATTATTTGCTCAGACTTGCATTGTCTAACTAAAGAGTTTTGACTATCTATTTCATGACATCCCTCAAATTCAACCTCCATCCAAAGGCTCATTCCAAATGTATCATGTACCTAATTTCTTTTTAAAGTTCATAGATGCCTACATTTGTTCTATAAAACTCAAAACCAATCTCAAGTTTCGATCCATAAAAAGGTAAAAAATACAAAGGAAGTTCGTCATATTTCTCATTCACTTTCTCTGATGTTTTTATGCAGAAATTTTTGTACTCTCCACTTGGGAAATTATTCATACTCCAACCTGATGAGAAGTCATCTCCTCCACACCCTTTACTGCCTCCAGGCAGTGCACTGTATGCTTTCAACAAAACCCAATATGGGTTCTCTGCAAGTGCCATAAAGGCATTCCTGAATTGTCCCCACCCACTGGAAACTCTTAGTGATCCTAAAGCCTACGGCTCAGAAGGTACAATTTTAAGAGATCATGACTCAAGCAACTACCTAAAAGCAGTGAACAAGGTTATAAGGCAAAACTTAAAGATGGTTCGTAAAGTACAAGAGCAGAGGAATCAATTGTGGCCATTGCTGGCCTCACCATCTCCACATTCATGGAACCATGGAAACACTCTGGAAAAGAGTGTGCTAGGGACCAAGAAAGTCATGACTGGTGTCTGAAGCCCTTTGCGGGGTTCTCCCCTGGTTAGATATGCACAAGACACTGACAAGAGAATTTTCTGTTTCTCCTTTCATCTGTTTGTACATACAGTCAATACGCAAAAGCCAATAAACTCTCGTATCTGTATTTATCATTCGTCCTCATTGAATAACGCCTTGGTGAAATCCAATATTTCTTGTAGCAAAGATACTGCAATATTCTATGCATTCGTTCGTTTTTCTGTTCTTCACAATATTGACTTACCAGGCTACGCTCACAGCTATTAATTATTTCAGATTTATACTCTAAGCTGCACTGCTGCATCAAGGGTTACAAAACTAATGACCAACAACTAAATAATCACAATCAAAGAAAATTAAATTTGTTAAAAAAAGTCACTGAACAAATTTTAGTGCACTCGATGTAATCCAAGATCTAAATTTAGTAAATAGAACAACTCCAATGTCCTCAGTATCACTACTACAAAGTATAAAGTGCAATGCAACTCCTGACTAGCAATTTAAAACTACAAAAGTTTGAAATTCTTGACCAATACACTTAAAAGAAGCCCCTATTTTATTAATTACAAGCATACTCTCTAATGAATCGGATTGTTTTCTAAAAAGATAGCTCAGACAGATACATAGAGTTTTGAGGAACTACTGAAAAATAGATTTCATGAAAAAATTGCACACTGCAAATGCCATTTGCATATGCTAAATGTAAACATTAACGCAACCGATAGCAGGTAAAGTAGAAAAAAGCAAACAAAGAAATGAGCTTTGACAAAGAAAAATGCATACCTGCTTCGCTCTGTTGAGGTTCGGGTTCAGTGTAATCTTCCATATAAAAGACTAAAGATCACAGCTTTCACCAGTCCAATACATCCAATAGCTACAATTCACTGTGCTTTGAGAATCTGAAAATCAATGACGAAACTTTAGGAAATCAACAAGAGAACATTCACCAAGCACATTCTACACTGCAATTCTATCCAAATCTGAGGCAAATAACTTCACAAGACCGCGTGTAAAGCACCGATTGACTAACTAAGAACCTTGATTACAAGCTCTCTTGCAACCAAACCCTTAAAAGCAACACCGAAAGAACCGAGCGAGATAATATAGTAACCACCAATAACTTACCCAGATGCAGAAAGAACACCGTCGTCAAATTCTAGAAAGTTCTAGATTCGTCCGGGGATTTCTCTGATTGAGGAACTTTTTCGAAATCCGTTTCGGCTTTTCAGGGGGTAACGCAGGAACGCCGAGAGGGCGGGCATGGGCGTTGTCCTGCCGTGCTGCCGCTTTCAATCTTTGCCTTGTAATTATAATCCGTTACTGATGTCATATGATCCGTGTGATCAGATGACATTTGGTATGGTATTCGAATATTTACCTACTCACATTAGCTAAGAGCATTCACACCCTTCTCTGTATTACGACTCTCCTTTGCTATCATAGCTAGTAAGTGTAGGTTTTTCCCATAGCATCCATGCTCTGTAAAAACTATCTACCCTCGCTTTGCGAATAGTTCTTGTTATATATATGCTAGCATTGTAGCACTCCTCAATTTTGTGATGAGAAAAAAGGCGTGGAGGGAAAAGAAGATGAGGTCGTCGCATGAAAAGGAAAAGGCTGGGTTGTCTCTTGATCCGGAGCTAAAGAATCCACTGGAATTGAGCCTTGATCATCTCCTTAATAGATGGTTCTGGTGATGGAAAATCCAATCTTTAGTGAAGATTTACGAAAAATAATTCTCACTAGGATTTGCGACACTGTTGCCCAAGAAAGGTATAATCTTTGTTATCTCTAAATTATGTATCTTTCTTGTTTTCTGACATGGGTTTTGTTTTTTTCTTTTTATGAAAATTGTATTTAGGTCTATAATATGTGCGCGCGCGCGCGCCTTTAGTTCTCCGGAGAATTTATGGTCAAGATATTAGAAAATTTCCCGACCGGTAGCATTGGATATAGAAATGTGTTTAGTAGCTGTAATAATTGTTTTTTTTAGTATTTTTTATTTTTAAATATATTAAAATAATATTTTTTATTTTTAAAAAAATATTTTTAATTTAAAAATATTTAAAAAATATATTAATTTAAAAAAATTCAAATTTTTTTAAAAACATTTCTGAAATACAATGCAGATAGGAAGTCAACATGTTTTGTCATTTCGTTTTTGAAATCTACTTCTAAAATGTATTCCTGTATCCAAAAGCTGAAGACATCAATAAATAAAAATAAAATGAAATTATAGATAAAAATTTTAAGTTTACAAGTTTTATTTTCTTAAAATAACTAGTTTTCCAAAGTTTATAATGTACTAAATAAACCAAATATCCTATATTAATTAAAAAATAAAATAAAAATCTAAAATTATAAAGAAAAGAAGGAGCATAAAATATAAAACTAACAAGAAAAATCACAAAAATTATCAAAACCAAAGCTTCATTATAAGATTTCTAAAATCTAAAGGTACGATGGTTGAAGTAGTGATTTCATACCTATTCTAAGAAAAATACCCTTCTAAAACTTTTATAAAAATTTAAATTTAATTCAACAATCAGATCAAAAGTTATAATTCAAGTTATAATTCTTTTGGGTTGTTATTCTGGTCTAGTATAATTATACTGGTCTAGTATAATTATACTTCTTTTTGAATCTAAACATGTTTTACTGACTATAAATATATATGTTAAGTCATTTATATAATTTATGATATATTTTTATTTAACTATGACAAATTTATTTAAAATTATCTATTATTGCAAGCATAACTAAGTATAATATTAATTATAGAAGTTATCTAGTTAAATGTTTCATGTGATCTAGTTTTTCTAACTAGTCTATGAGCTCAAACAAACTTGGAAAGGGACAATCTTTGCTAGGTTTTATCCATTAATGTATATGCTACTCTATAATTTTAAAGATTTTGTTTTTGTTACAACAAAATAGAAATTCTATTGTTTTAATTGCTTTTCATTAAGGCTTTTTTTTTTCTTGCTTTGTTAAATTTTTAAGAAAAATAATGGAGGTTGGTTTTAGCACGGAATGTTTGTTAGTATTTGTAGAAGATTGCTTCTCCAGCACAAGAAACCCCACAACCAATCAAACCTATTAACTAGCTGGTATTGTACCAACTATGTTTTTAATTTTTTATTTTTTTTCACATGTTTACTTTATTCTTATTTTGAGTTTGAGTTTATTTTTTTTAATTATAAATATTCGGGTTCATTTATATATATTTTAATTAATTTTTTAAAATTTTAAAGTTAATAATTATATGAACTTTTAATAATTCTAAAGTTTGACACATTTAAATTAGTAATTAATAGGAAGTAGAAGATCTTCCTTGAAGAAACTTGTGATCCCATGAAAAGGGATTGTTGGTGACCGAAGCAGGAACCCATTAACTAGCTGGTATTGCACCAACCAAACCTTTAATTTTTTTTTTCACATGTTTACTTTATTCTTGTTTTGAGCCTGAGTTTATTTTTTTAAAATTATAAGTATTCTGATCAATTTATATATTTTTTAATTAATTTTTTAAAATTTTAAAGTTAATAATTATATGAACTTTTAATAATTCTAAAGTTTGACACATTTAAATTAGTAATTAATAGGAAGTAGATTCAAGAGATGATTAGATAAATTAAACCTCTTAAAATTAAATCTAATATTTTTTAATTACTTAGGTAGTTGTTCTCAACATGCGGTAATAAATTAAATTGCTAAGTTGATGCATTTAAAAAAAATTGTCCATTGCAATTTTAACTATATAAACGGTATAATTTGCATCCAACCCAAATTCTTGTATAAATTGGATTTTTTCTATCAAAAATTTACACTTTTATGTATATTTGTTGAACTTCAATTTCTTTATCGATCACAGTTACTAAAAGTTTTTCAATGGAATCTCAAGAAAGTGGTGGCAAATTCACCAGCCTTGTGTATGAAGGGTCAACCTTAATACATAATTTTCACAAGAAAGTTATAATCTACCCGCTTAATACTCCAATTAATTTATTGTAGCATCTCAAGATCTATGTTAAAATCCACTTATGGCTGAAAAAACAAAGCAATCAAGTAAACTTAAGGATGGATAAAATTGTTCTTATAAAGACATAAATCAACACCAGTATGGATCCAATATATGAAAATAAATAAATAAAATAAGTTGTATTGGAATAGAATTCACAACAACTATATCTCAATGTACATCAAGTTCTCTTATATATTTTTGGTTGACCATTCAATAGTGGTGAATAAGTTTTGTTCATATTATACCCAAATCAAAAATAAAAAAATAAAGTAGCTTCATGTATAAATACGATGTATTTTTTATATAAAACTTATATATTTAAATTCATTTAATTTATTATTTTTTTAAGTAATGGATTTCGATGTACTTTAATATTAGGTCAATGAAGTACAGATTGCATATCAAAAAATTCAAAATTAACCATCTTATTTCAACATTTATGGAAGAAATTGAAGAGCCAACATAAATTAATAATTGTAAATTAACTCGTAAAACTTATTCTATTCTCCTCTTACTCAAATTTCTATCAACTTATAAAAAGATGATGTTATACTTGATGATGAAGACTATATGAAAAGACCAAGACTATATGAAGAGACCGATAAGTAAAGAGAAGGCAAAAAAACAAGCTAAAAAAGATTTTTTTTTTTTAAAGCAGGAGTTCTCATATTGAATTGATCTTAGAAAATTACAAAGAACATAAAAATAAAAATGAAATGTAAGAAGATATAATTTTTTTGAAAAAATTATTTGCTTTAAAGGAAAAAAAATTAAATGCAAAACATAAAAAGGCAAAGATAAAATGAGATATAATTGTTATTATGTAAAAAGAATGAAATAACAACACGAAGATGAGAGAATAATATTAATAGATACAATAATATTAATTGAATATCATGAGATGCATTAGATGGAGATATTGGTTAAATGATATAATAGTAGTATTAACTAGTATGCATTATTTAAATTCTCATTATTTTTTTAAGTGTATGCATTTTATTTTATTATTTGTAATTTCTACTATAATAATAAAAAAAATTGACGTGTTATTAAAATTAGTAAATTATTAGCATATTTTGAAAGTTGTAAACAACATGAAATAACCTACACTTGAATATTAACCTCATATATAATTGAATAATAAAAAATTATAAGATATTCATAATTATGAGATAGTAAAGCCAAAAATATATTTAATTACAGAGACAGAGATATAAAAATAAATTTGTTTCTAAAATAATTTTAGAATAAATCTTTGTATTTTCAAAATATAAAGTACAAAGAAGATATGTCTTTAAAAATTATATTTTTTATTTCTAAAATATCACTGTAAAAAATTTTCAATTTCAAAATGGTTCAATTAAGACATATAACGATAAAAATAATAATTATTATAGTTTTAAAACTCAATCTAAAAATTAATTCTAGGCAAAACTTGGGTCATGAGTCGGGTTGACCAAAGTCATCATAAAGAATAAAAGGGCTATTATTATAGTTTTAAAGTCCGATTCGAGAATTAAGTCATGGTAAAGCCAAGGTTAATATAAGAAAAAAAATAATTATTAATATAGTTTTAAAACTCGATTCGGAATAAGGTTTAGGTCACATGCTAACAGGGTCAACATAAAAATAAAAAAAGTTATTATCATAATTTTAAAACTTGATTTAAAAATTAAGCCAGTTTAACCCGAGTAAATGTAAAGATAAAAATTGTTATTATCATAATTTTAAAATGCGATTCCAAAGTTAACCTTACACAAGATTCAGGTTACAAGTAGAGAATGTCAACTCGACTAGCCCGATTTTTTTTTTAAAAATAATCAAAGTAACCTTGTTTTGACTATTTTTTTCAAAAAATATCAACGAATTTTTAACCCGTATTTTATCTCGAGATTACTTATATTTTTTATCAAGTTAGATCTAGTCAATCAGTTTTTTATTTTTTTAAAAATCAGTTTAGATCCAAGCTAACAAAATTTTATAACTAAAATTATTATAATATTATTAATCCCAACATTTAATATGAACTAAAGTAATACATACACACATTTATTTTTTTAAAATATTTAAGTTTCACAATAATTTATATTACAAATAAAATTTATTTTTTATATTTTATTAATTCATTATTTTCATGATAGAAAAACAATCAATTTATCTCATATATGAGTACAAAATATAATTTTATTCTTATCTTCTTTTCTGTTTTGTCTTTACCTTCTTTATTTCTTTCATCCTCAAGCTACTTTATTTCTTTTGTCCTCAAGCTACTTAAATGCACAAGGCATTCGGCCCTATAATATAAAATCACGATGATTTATTTATTATTAATAATCTTATAATTTATTGATTTTGATACTGTTTTTTCCCCCTTTTTTCTGTCTCCTTCCCAGATGCTCTATCCTCAACTCTTTCAGTATTTAATCAAAGAATAATAATAATAAATAAAAAAGAGCCTCTCAGAGGCCCAAACTCCCTCAAGTGTAATTTTCTCCGCCCCCGCAATTTCCATTTCCTCTAAGAAAACACCCCCGCTCCCTCTGTCTCTCTCTGCAAACCCGAGAATAATAGGAAAGGAGAAAAAACTAATCACTGTATTGAAATTGATCCATGCCTCAATCCTTTATTCAGAAATAAATTCAACGCACCTAATATTGCTTATTGCATTTGCCATGTGGTCCTTTTTAATCCTGCAATATTTCTTTATTTGATTTGCCGACACTTCAATCATTATAATTTTTTTTTTTATCAGGATTCAGATTTTCTCTTTTTTTTTTGTTTTTTTTTTTTTTGTATTTGGGCTCGTAATTTCCAGCGTTTCCTTTGATTTAGTTTAATTTATTATTCTGTTTTATTCAGGAGAATCCTTTCAATCATGCAATGTCACGTAAGTGCCCAACTTAACTGAAATTGATTTGTGTTTTTTTTACCCAATATTGGTGGAAATTTCAGCACCTGCTCTTTTTTTTCCATTTTTGGAAACAGGTTATCCTGAAAACCTATTTCTGAATACTGTGCCTGTTTTTTTTGTGGTTGTTTATGGTTTCAAGTGTTTAAAATTTGTTATTTTCTGGAAGAAAGTTGGTTTGTTGGTTGTGGAATAAGGAGGGGGGGGGGGGGGGGGGGGGG